ACTGACCGGCGGTGTCAATTCTGCCAAATAGCAAGCTGGACTCGCGCAAGGCCTGTTTTAGTCATCGGTTATGCCCGTGCTCGATCTTTTCGACGCTTGTAACGTACTCGCCCATGGTAGACCCTAAGATCATCACTAATTGTCTACATTTGTGGGCTCAGCGTGATGGTTAGGCTACTGATATCCTAATTCGGCCCGCGTTCATGTGGAGAGGGGCGTTTTTGACCACCTGAACAATTCCTCCTCGGCTTGGCCTTTTCAGTGGAAAGAACTTTCCATGTACCTGCTGTTGTCCCCCCCCCCTTCAAGCGTGGTCCCCTTGTTAGTAGCATGTATGACGTGAATGACTCGTCATTTCGGATTTTTGGGCTACCACGACTTTTATCTTGTCTGATCTGATCGGCCTCAGTTTCCATACGGTATTTTTGTAGCTATCGGTCATCAGAGTTGCTTGTTCGAGACCACCTCTTTGTGTTTTAATTCGGTAAAAATTGCCAATATGGCAACGGTATTAAGGTTACAGATGACAGTCACTGCCTCCCGTTAGCATTATCGATCTCCACGATACTTTATTGGACAGTCCATTTTCTAGACCCCGGCCTTCTGGGCCCAAGTAGCACAGCCGCTGTTGCTGGTTCGCGACGGACAATAAAGCCTGTTTATCTCACAACCAGCTTCACGGAGGGGGCGGAGAGCATTCTACTCGCAGACTAGTAGAAAGACCAAAACGCTTGACCGCGCATCTTACTTGAGACACCACCACGACTTAAGAAAATCGACGAAGACTTTCTCGAGAACGCAACGTAGGCCGCTACTTCATAAGCATGTCGCCCCCCACCCAGCACTGGCAAAATCACACTAGAATCTGCCAATTTTCTTGGCGCAGCCTATTGCGCAATCATTTGCAATCGGTCAAGAAAATGCTGTACACTAAGCTCATCCTACCGACTGCGATTCTGCGCACTTAATTTAGTCTTAGTTGGAATCCTTGGTAGCCGTCTGCACTGTCCCTTCTTTGTCCTATCCATCGTCTGGAACTGATTATGACGAAAGCCGATACTGTAATTTGCAAGTCGCTTCTCATCCTTCGCAGTAAGTTTTTCCGGTAGTTCCGATTAACTGTTCGATTTCCTATACTCCTCTTCCTCTTTCTCTTCCTCGTTC